TCTTAGTGTAGCCTCAGGAAAACCCAGAAAAGTTGACAAAAAGAGAATGTTGTCATTTCAGGGAAAATCAAGCTATTTATCAATTTATCCATTGATGGTGTGGAAAGTCAAGTTCCTCCAACAGAATCATAAATCTCAGGATTCAAAGGGACTTGAAATTCCCCTTGTCCAACCCATTTGCCGAAGAGGCCTCTTCAGTGCCTCTTCTGAGGGTTTTAGGGCTCCCCCCTACTTCCTCGTCTCCCCTCTTCAATTTTCTTCCTTTCCACAGCCTTAGTCTACCATGTCCCTGTTTTTCTTCTTTGTAGACAACTAGAGGACATATCAGTCCTCCACCATGTTTTGGTGAAGGGAGTCTGTGTTGCCACAGGGTTTTTAGGGCTGGGTGTTTTCAGCAAAAAGTATTTTTAAAAGACCTCCCATTCCAGGAAACTAACATCTGGATTCTATTATCTGAAAGGCCTCATTAACAGATAATATTGTGATGTTCACATGCCTATTTTTGAAGCTGAAGGAAAGTAAGGGTTTCATTATTTTGGGTACAATCTCATAAATAATGGAGCAAATTTGTAGCAGTGTAGGCTTTCTATTCACTGCACCCTGAGAATTTTAGAAAGATTGGGAGAAAAAAAATACTATATGTTGTCTTTACTGGAAAAATGACTAGATGGGAGGGTTCTGGATTAGAAGTTTTTTTTGGACACTTGTCTTTTAGCTAATTTATAATTAAAAAAATATATATATATAATGACCAGATCTTTAGTAAATGTTAATTAGCTTACGATGTCACTGGTTTGAAGTAAAAAATACAATTGATAGTAACTTTAATAACAATTCACAAGCTATTATTCACACAATAGTGAGAAAAAGTCTATGAATGCACATGGGACAAAGATGACCAGAAATCTTTTTTAAATAAAAGTGAGAAAAAGTTGCACATGGCTCTGAGGAGTTTCCTGCTGGACTCTGACTGTGTGAAGACACAGTGTTTACACAGATCTGGTGACGTTTTATGAGTCTCGGGGTTTTTTCCTTTTTAACTACTGTGGACTATTTGCTTCCTCCACACCACAGATAATTCCCAACAGAGAAACTTCTTTGTATAGGGTTTATTTTATTTTTTCTGGAATCAACTTTGATATGTCTCACATTATTTTCAATTGTAGAGTTTAATAACCTGTCCATAAAAGCTTTTACATGTTAAAAAGTCTATGTATGTGTGCCTGATGGTGGAAGCATGTGTTTATAAGTAATACAATGCACTCATTATGCATTGAGTTCGGACTTTTTCCTAAACTGCAACTGAATGTGAGTGGTCTAAACTCAAGTTAGAAATACAGATACAGCCTATCGACTTTTCTTTTTAACAGAACCCACACAAACTACACTCAACATTTTGTTCCTGAGTTTTCTCCCTTGTTTTTAAAAAAAGTTGTGTTTTGCATTTGAAAAAGTTATTAGACTTTTAGGCATTTCTTTGTTAGTTTACTCTCAACACAGAGAGGATTGAAATGGTTTATAAAAATAAAGACAATGTGAGAAGGAAAAATTAGGAGCCACAAATAAATTTTGCCCAAGATTCTGCAAGTTTAAAGACACACTACACATTCTGCTCTCAGAAATCAAAGCTTTTTCCTGTTTTACTCATAACTCTAATACTAAGTGATCAAATATTCAAGTTCAAAAAAATTCAAATATCATTCACCAAAATATTCATTTTCTACTAATAGTGATTTAATGTACATTAATTAGTAAAGAAGTGTATTATTTCCTTATAAATGTACATTAAAAACCCTCTTAGAATCATGAACACCCCTGCAGTTTACAATTAATTCGCCCCTCCCTTCCTCCCTCCCTCACACTCGTCTCCGGTCTTCTCGGTGTTTCCAAACGGACGGACGCTAAAACACTGACAGCAGAGCAATCCTCCCTCTGGTGGCTTTGGCAAGTCACTCTGAATCAAAGAAATATTACCTATCATGTTAAATTTATTTTCAAATGTCTCTGTTCCACGAGACTCTAATTTAAAACTGCATACAGAAAAGGATTTTGAAATAGAATTGGATGGCCATTCAATCTCAAATGTCTGAAAGAAAAGCTGCTACAGTGATTCAATGCTGGACCAACTGTATGTAGAATTCACTATTTGACTGTTACCACGCTTGCCCCAATCCGTAATTAAAATTCTCCTTAAGAGCCTGGACTAAGTCTTTATCTTCCTCTGGAGCTACCCCATCCCCTGGGCAAACAGTCAGTACCCGGGAGCTCCAGGGCTTCTGCCCTGAAACCAGGCTGCCCAGGAGGGACTCCAAGGGTTGCCACTGACTACAGTGCCCTCAGGCAAGTTGCCTGACTTTCCTGTGCCTCAATTTCCTTCTTTTTAAAGTTGATGACAATGATAATATCTGTCTCAGAAGTTCATACACGTAAATGAGTTAAGTATAATGTACTTAGAAGAGTGCTTGGTACACAATAACTATTACGTTTTTAAAAATATAATTTTAATAATGATGACTTTATAGATTAACTTAGTACCAGTGACTGCCAAATTTCTATCTTTTCCCTCAAGTTTTCTTTTTTTTAACTTTTAAAGATAATGTTAATTCTTTTTGAAAAATAAAATTTGGTCTTTATATATAAGCATGCGATGGCCATGCATTAGGCATTAATTTAACAACTACTGTATGCTAGACACTTTTTTCAGGTGTCAGGGACATAGAGGCAATTGTGTGCAGCAAGCTACTTACCCTCTTTGCGCTTTGGGTTCCTCATCTGTGAAGTGGCTGGGACGGGTGCCTGCTCTGCCTGCTGTCACAGGACCCTTGTCATTCCCGTGATAACACAATGGAGGAATTCAATATGTGCTTGAAAAAATTGCCAAGTGCTGGTGAATGTGAGGTATCGTTACCATTTTGTTCATCATTAGATATAGGAACATTTTTTCTCACCAGAGGGTATGATCTTTTACAAGCTCAGTAAGCATCATGGAAAGCCTGTTACTTTCCAATGGATGATTTCTTTCAAAATTTTATGGAATGAGACAAAATCGTAATAAGTTTCATGCCTTAGGTCTCCATCTCCTCCTTTCCACACCCCTACACACATGCACACCCTTCCCACATTCTCAGTGTACTGGTGGTATGAATCCTTACCTACCCATCGGACAAATCCATGCCCATCAGAAATGTAAACAAAATCAAAGATTGACATTTTTATAATCACAACAAAAATCAGTTAAAAATAAAATTAATCTATTATGAAAAGTTTTAGACACCTTTCAAACTTTACTTCTAGAGATTTAAAAATTTTGTTTTAGACATAATTCGAGGTTGATGATAATACTTGCATCATAACTTAAGTTACAAGTCTTAAAACAGACTGATTTAGCTCTATTGTTTGCTTTTCCTCTGTGTTCCCAAGCCGTTGACATCAATTCCACATGCCTGTGGCCAGGGAGGCTCTAGGGATCCTATTGGCTGAAATGTGGGAGAAGCAGCGCCCTGGGGAGAGCGCTGAGAACCTGCTAGAGCAGCGGCCCCCACACTTCCTTCATCACATATGCCGTGAGGACAAGCTACGGGAGCACATTCCCATATGGGTGTAATTTTAAATTTATAAATTATGTACTCATCAATCTGTATTAATATAGTATATACATTATAAAAAATAGGCAGTATACAAATAAAAACAGTGAGATGAAATAAATATTTTTTAAAATAAAATTGAACATTTATTAATGGCACACTAAACCTTTAGTCCTCAAATTGTAGAGATTTGTAATGATGTCTAGACAGTTGGTTCACAAATGCCTTGCACATTCAACTGGCGCACTGTCATTTGATAATAATGAAAAGGGCAGCATACACTTGGTGCTAGATTCATTGTTTATAAAATTATGTATATCCATACTACAAATAGGCTTTTTGAATATTTTTATATTTATGGACTCCATCTTGGCGGAACTGAATGGGTCACCACTGATTTCTTTTCAGTGTGGCTGAAAATGAGCTCCTTCAAGGAGTAGGAGAAACATTGTTCTACCAGTTGTTTTTCTTAAAAATTTATTCTTGCATCATAAATATTATCAACAATCCACAGTTATTTTCAGAAATCTTTTAAAGCTATTGCTCTACTAGTGAGTTGTTAATTTAGTTAAAACTAGATGATATAATCTATAAATCTGCTTAACCTGCCAAAGAAAACAGCACTATGTTGTGGTGTTCAGCAAGCAACACAGGAGCAAAGATGTCATCATTAGCCCTCGACACAGGAGAGTGCAGACTGAAATGTCAGCTGAGCAAGCGTGCTTGTTTACTCATTATTAGTAAAGTGCAACTTCTTTTTTTGTTTTCAAAATAGGACTACATGTGAGCAAGAGTCCTGATATATTTTTCCTCTGCCCGGAGCTGCATGTGCTCCACTTTGGAGAGCACAGTACTAGGTCCCTCCAGGGTCCATCTGAGTCCCCAGCATGGCCTGGCCCAGGATGGGCTACGCAGAGGGAACCTAGGAGTGTAAACAGCACTCTGGGCCCCCCACCCCTGCTGCAACCAATGGGCTCCAGTTTCATTTATTTTCTATTTTACGCATTAAGCTTTTTGATAAATTTTCATTGCAACAAACAATTCTACAGTTGAAACATGTTTGAAACCCTCTTTTGGAGAAGCCCTGAAGCCCATTACCCACAGTTCTGATGAATGTTTAAATCTGAACACTGAACAGTAAGTTGCAAAGATAGTCTTTTACTAAAGAGCTAAATATACCAGTTTTTAAACTGCCTATGTTTTACGTTTGTTTTAGTTTTCTTAGATGCAAAATCAGCCTTAGATCTAAAACGGTAAATAATTTAACCAAATGTGCTACAAAAGTTTTTGAATGTAATTAAATGCTAAATAAAAGCAATGGTTAAAAAATGCATTAATTTTTTCTTGAGACATTTAGTAAAAAGTTTTGAATAGTGTAGAAATAGATGATATTAAAACAAAGCTTAAGAAAAGGATATGGTTCTCGTGCTATTTCAGTGAGTTTAACCTTGGTTTGTCGAGGGCCTTTGAAAGTACCAGCTAGCTGATGCATCTGAAGATAATATGAAATCAGTGGACTCTGACCTCCAAAGTTGAAGAGCACACGTTTAAACTCTGGACCAGAGCTACAATAATGGGACTGTGAGGAGAAGAAATAAATAAAATCTGTTATCAATTTTGTGTGTTTTTAAAGACCTGTAAATAAATTGTAATGACATTATACCTATAAATAAAATTACCATCTAGTATATTAAAAGAAAAAACAGTAACTTCTGCAAAGCATCTTCTTAATTAAAAGAATTTACTAACGTATGAATCTATGAGTATGCTCAGCAAAGCTCTCTTAGCCTTTTGCTTTATCAGTGAGCTTGAAGACAGGTCAGTAGAGATTATTCTGTCTGAAGAACAGAAATAAAAAAGAATAAAGAAAATTAACAGAGGCCTAGAAAAAGGGGCAAGTAAAATATGTGAATAAATAGTGACTAAACCTTCCCAAATTTTATGAGAAATATATACAGGAAACTTAGCTTCAAGTAGTATAAATTCACACCTAGACTGTTTCATATCAAAGTGTTGAAACAAAGACAAAAAGAAAAATCTCAAACACAGCAAGGGAAAAACAGCATATATGGAAATCTTACTAGGATTTACAGCTGACTTCTCATTTGAACAAAAGAGTTTAGAGGCAGTTTGATAACATAACCAAAGTGCAGACGGAAAAAAAATGTTGACCGCGATTTCTATGTCAGGAAACAACAATCATAAATTTAATTGCTCCAAGATTCTCTTACAGACTTCTTGTGGGAAACAAAGTCAGTATAGCAACTACTCATATATTTAGCCTTCTCTCAATTTTTGTAATGCCAAATGAGAGATTTATTATTGATTCCATTTTCTGTGGGGATATAAGATTTTACTTGTATTTGCTTCTACTGATGCATAAAATTCATGTGTGTTTCTTTTACTTATGGTCACTTTTAAATTGTATTCATTAATAGCTGCTCCAGAATTATTTTAAAAAGTGGGACTATGATAATCAAAAGCACTTTGATGGTGAAAACTAAATGTCAGTGTCAGATGTGTTTTCCACGATGTAAATACATCTGATGTTTCCTTCATCTTAATCTTCCATGGCAATTTACATCAGGTTACATCTAGCCTGATCTTTAAATTACACGCAAAACCAAGCCAAACTCCATTTAGATTAAAAGGAAATTTTTGTCTGCCTCAAAAGATCATTTTATGACTCCCTTCCAGGCTTTTGTCTTGTGTATTATAAGATAGAATCTATCTTACTGAAGTACTACAGATAAACATTTCTGTTATTTTTTTCCCTACAGTTATCAGTTTTCAACTTAGAAAAACCACAGTTCACAGCTCCTTCTTTGTCTGTGAGGATCCCTGATATTTTAAGGATAGTTTAACCAGGCAAGAGTAGAACTAGGTATTAAATGCAAATTCAGTGTTTTGTGGAGCCTTAGCTATTTTCTTAGATACTTTAGAGCAGAAGATCCCATGTTGCCTGAAGCACTCTTGCTAGAAATATTCAAAATAGCCACAGCAACTAACCAGAAGCCCTGCTGTTTCCATTTGCCCCACAAAAGACAGAAAATTGTCAGAAAACTTTGATTCCATTAGCAGGACTTTTATAATCAAAATACAACTTGGTAGTAATTTTGAAGAACCAAGCAATCCTATAAACTTTGAAAGGATCACAAGGGGTGAATCAGAGAGTTACAGGCATGGTTTTGGTGCTGAATTTTTCTGTTAATTTATTAAAATATAATTCTTGATAATGACTACAGAACAAAACTTTGATTTTTGATTTTCTAATGTGTGTCCTTGCAATGCCCTTATGGGTATTGGAAACCCACAGGTACCCATTCAGCATTTGGGCAACCTGGTGGCAGAAAAAGTTCTTTGTGTTGAACTGAAATGTCTCCCCATAGCTTTCACTTATTAGTAAAAATAAAAAATACCTTGGTAAAAAACTTTTTTGAGCCCCATAGAAGAATCTAATCCTGCTTTGCTACAGTAGCTCTATACATTTTTGAAAACAGTTGATAAGGTCTCCAGGGCTTTTTCTTTGCCAGTAGAAATGTCTTTAAGTATTTTGACCATTGCTCAAACACTATCGTTTGAGTCCTTCAGCATTCTGGTCATATTCAGTTCCGAATGCTTCTGATTGTCTACACCCTTTTACAATTCAGTTCTCCAAAATGAATACACAGTATAGAAGATAGCCCACAAGTCTATTTAAATGGCCAGGAATTCAGGAGATTTTGTAGTCAACAATATTTTAATGTTAACACATACACGTTACTGTTAAAAATAATCCCCAAATCTTTTCAGATGTCCCTAAGCTTTATTATACTGTTGCTCTGCAGTTGTAATATTGGACCTCTATACTTTTTCCACAATAAGAGTTTATTTTCTAAGATCAGGCCTTTTACTCTAGCCTACCATGAATTTTTCATCATCTGATGTATTAATAATTCTTCCAAGTTTATGACTTCTACATATCTAATAAAAATGGCAACCATATTTTTATCCAAATTGTTGATAAAGTAGTCTGTATAGAACAGGGCCAATAATGCAACAATATGGTATACTACCGACAATGTATCTGCAATTTGCTTTCTTTCTTTAATAGTGTCATCTGAAAAAGTTGTATAGTCAGTTACAAGTCCATCTGTCCATATTTCTTCAACTTCTGTAGGTGAGGTACAAAGGACCATTTTTATTGCTTGCTGAAGATCAGATATACAATTTCTATTACATTTCCTTGTTTTCTAAATCAAGCAATCCGCTCCCCCTTGCCAAAAAAGGTGATACTCTCATTGACCCCAAACTGAAGCCTAGAGATCACCAGTTTCTTTTCTTGGTACTTACAAACCATCCTTGGCAGCATTGTGAAGGTTGGAAAAGAGTCTAACTCCCTGGATAGTTAGATACCAGGAAATATGTGAGTACTGACTATCAGAAAGTGGTTTTTATATAGGCACAATTTAAAATTTAAAATAATGACTGGACTTGACTAGGTAATTCAGACAAAGTTTTAGCAATAAAGACTTCAATAGACTTAAAATCTAATTGTCTAACAAGTTAAGAGATCAGATTCAGAATTTCAAGCCAATAACGTCATCAAATCATTGTCTGAAGGTGGAGAAACATAGCATTAAAGACTTAGCATTTAGGGTAATAGTATCTACATGCAGTCAGTTATCCCAGGACCATGGCTTAAGAGGTAGGGACAGTTCAACCATTACTGAAAATTCCTTTGAAGATTTCCCAGCGACTTTGACTGACGTTTATTGAGATCAAAGTTATGTTTGTATGCCAGTCCACGGACAAGTGGTACCAGACATATGAGAAAAGACAAATGCTATGCCTTTCTTTCTCATTAGAGATGAGGATATTTTTTAGGAAAAAAAATATTTTTTAATATTAAGATTAATCTCCCAATAAATCACTTAGACCATTAAATTTTGTCTGATATATATCAAGCAGGAAATAACCAACATTGCCTACATGAAGCTGTTCAGCCATCTATGTTGCAAATTAAAGAAGTAAAAACTTAAAAAAATAATTACTATACTCCAAACCTTTATTGTTAGTTTTGGTAATCTTGATTCTTCATTGGATGTGGATGTTGTATATGCTGTTGATTTCTTTAAAATTTTCATCATATTGAAGTCTATAGCTGAAACAGAAAATACAATATATTTTTAAAGGTTTTATTTATTTATTTTTAGAGAGGGGAGGGGAAGGAGAAAGAGGGAGAGAAACATCAATAAGTGGTTGCCTCTTGTGTGCCCCCTACTGGGGACCTGGCCCCCAACCCAGGCATGTGCCCTGACTGGGAATGGAACCAGTGACCCTTTGATTTACACTCAATGTACTGAGCCGCACCAGCCAGGGCAGAAAATACCGTATTTTTAAAAATTGTTTTTTTTTCTTGACAAAAAGACATGATGCCTCTTCCTTCTCCTAGCAATTCATTCTAAACATGGAGAGAGGCAAAGATGGATGAGAAGTTTAAGATATTGTTATAGCTTGGCCTAGTCAGAGGAAATGAATATTCCATCTCACTTTCTCATGACTTGCTCTAAGCTGTCACTTATTAAGAGTACACAGGAGAGGACAGAGGCCTAGGTATTTTGCCTCTGAGTTCTGAGCTGTTACCATGACCTTCTAGTTAAATGTAATAGGAGGTGTGTCCCTCTGCATGTTAGGGTCCACATTTTCTGCATACTGAATACACCCATATCTGGTAATTCTTCCTTGCAACTGGCATGGATACACATGAGGGTATCTAAGGAATCTTGTCATGTCTTCTAGGAAAAAAAGAACTGTGTGATTTAATCAGCAGCGTTGATCAGCTTAAAAGCTAGTTATTAAGATATCTTAACACAGAGCAAACAGGGGATCTAGGAGATTTATGCTAGATTCTGGCACTGATTATTATTATCAGTTACCAGGTAGACTAATTAGATCTAGAGGTTGTGCAGTTGACGATAAAACTCTGAGGAGTTGAGGAAAGTCACTTGGATTTATTTTTGACATTAGACACTAAAAGATGTTAAATATTAGTCTGACACACTAGAGGCAAGTGGGGATCTATCTCTGGCAGAGATTAGAGATTTGGTGAGCAAAGAATCTGCATTTTAAAATTTTGACTGGAACCAAGGTTAGATTCAGTTGGAGTTACAATTGACACGAAAAGTAGTAAATCATAGAATTTCTTTTCATTAAAACTCACTCAAGGGCATATGATCCCATATGATGAGGAATCTGGCAATATCTACCAAAAATACGTATTTTCCCTTTGACCCAGAAATTTCTTTTCTGAGAATACATCCTATACAACCTCCTACATAAGTGTGAAAGAACATATGTATGAGTTTATTGATTTGTGGCAATAATTTGAAAATTTAGAGATTATAACTATCCCATGTATTAGCAGTCAAGTTGTGGTTGAATAAACTAAAGCACCCCTATTTGAAGGAATACTATGGAGTTGTAAAAGGCAATGAGGAAAATCCCCATATCTATGTAAAGAGATCTACTGGTCATATCACTAAGTGATAAAAGTAAGGGGCAGAACAGTGTATAGAGTATGTTATTTAATTCATTGTACATAGTAGGCTACTTTAGTATAAAAGAGAAAATAAAAATATCTACTGTATTTACCTTCACTTGTATAAATAAACACTGAAAAGATAAAAATTGAAACTAATAAAAATATTATCTTTAGGAGGAATAATTAAAAACAAAACTTTCTCAATTTTGAGTCATTCTTAAATACAATAGGTAATTAGGTAATATTACTTAATTTTTAGTTTCTATGAATAGACATGCCTCTACTTCATGTCAGCTATACCCACAATAAAAATCTCACTTTCAAATCACTTGATTTGGGCATTTATCTAGGCATTTTTTAGAGGTTACTAGCCCTGACCAGTGTGGCTTAAATAAAGGTGTTGTTGAAGAAAATAGGACCCATTTTAAGTCTTTCCTATAGAATTGAGAACATTAATAAAATCCACCACTAAATGAGTTCTGAAACAAAAATTAGAACATACTATTTTGACTACAGCAAAAACAAATGAACTATATATTAAAAATACAATAGAAAAGATCAATGAAACTAAAGTTGGTTTATTAAAAAATAAATAAAATAGGCAAACCTAAGCTAGATTCACCATGAACAAAGAGGGAGGACTCAAAATCAGAAATAAAAGAGGAGATGTTACAACTGATACAACAGAAATACGAAGGATCATGAGACTTCTATGAAAAATTATTTACCAACAAATTACATAACCTAGGAAAAATGGGTAAATTGCTAGAAACTTACAATCTATAAAGACTGAATCATGAAGAAAAGGAGCCTGAACAGACTAGTAATGAATAAGGAGGGTGAAGTGATAATAGAAAATCTCCTAGCAAAGAAAAGCTCAGAACCAGATGGTCTCATGGCTGAATTCTAACAAACAATTAATGATAAATTAATTGTTTAATTAAATCCTTTAAAAACTCTTACAAAAAAGAGAAGCAGAGGGAACTCTTCCAAACTCCTTTTATGAGGCCAGTGTCACCTTGATATCAAAGCCAGACAAAGACAACACAAGGAAACTGTAAGTCAGTTTGCTCTCAAAGCAGATCAAATTCAACAACCCAGTAAAAAGATTATTCACCATGACCAAGTGTGATTTATCTCAGAGATACAAGGTTGCTTTAACATAGGCAAATCAATCAATGTGATCCACTACAGTAATAAATTGAAAAATAAAAGCCACATGATTTTTCTCAATAGATGCAGAAAAAGCATTTGACAAAGTTCAACATTCATTCATAATAAAAACTCTCAATAAAATAAGTATAGAAGGAAACGTCCTCAACACAATAAAGGTTGTTCATGAAAAACCCATAGCTAACATCATAGCCAGTGAGCAAACACTGAAAACTTTTCCTCTAAAATCCAGTACAATGCAAGGATGTTCACCATTTTCACTTATATCAACATAGTACTGGAAGTACTAGCAAGAACAATCAGATAAGAAAAAGGTATAAAAGGCATCAAAATTAGAAAGAAAGAAGTAAAATTATTTCTTTTTTCAGGTGACAAATTTATATCTAGAAAATCCTGAAGACACCATTAAAAAAAAAAAAAACTATTAGAACTGAATGAATTTAGGAAAGTTGCAGGACAAAAAAAATCAACGTAAAAAAATCAGTTGTTTTAGCCCTGACCAGTGTGGCTCAGTTGCCTGGGCATTGTCCCACAAAGTGAAAAGTTGCTGGTTTGATTCCCATTCAGGGCACATGCCTGGGTTGCTGGTTCAGTACCCATTTGAGGCACAGAGGCAACCAATTGATGTTTCTCTCTCACATTGATATTCCTCTCCCTGTCTTTCTCCCTTCTTTCCACTCTTTTTACAAATAAATAAAATCTTTAAAAAAATCAGTTGTGTGTGTGTGTGTTTTTTACATGACCAACAATCTATTTGAAAGGAAAAATCAATAAAATGATCACATGATAGAGAAGAATAAAATACTTATACTTAGGAATAAATCTAACCATGTAGGTGAAAGATCTGTAGATTGAAAACTGTAAAACATTAATAAAAGAAATTGAAGAAGACACGGATAAATGGAAAGATATTCCATGTTTATGGATTGGAAAATTATTCTTTTTAAAATGTCCATTTTAAAGCAATATACAGATTCAGTGTAATTCTTATCAAAATTAAATGGCATTTTTCACAGAAATAGAAAAAAGTAGAATATAATCCAGCAATCTCTCTTCTGGGTATATACTCAGAGGAAGTGAAATCATTATCTCAAAGAGGTTTCTGCATTACTCACAGCAGCCAGGATATGGAAACAACCTAAATGTGAATGAATAAATGAATGGATATAGAAATTGTGCTATGTGTACACATATACATATGCACAGTGGACAATTATTTAGCCTTAACAGAACACTTAAACAATATCATCCTATTCATCACACTCTTTAAAATGTCCATGAGAGTAAAAAAACAAACAACCCCCCCAAAAAAACACAAACTTCTGCAAAGATTTCCAGCTCTTCTTGGCACTAGAATCAGATGGAGTGCTCTCTCTCTCTCTCTCTCTCTCAACCTCATGAAGTGCTATGGAGTAGTTTATGAAAGTTTTGAGAATATGTTTACCACAAGGATGAGGAGATCACAACCTTTTAAAAAAATAATACCATCAGTATATGCTGAGCACAATGAACAGCAAGGCATAATTCAACCAAAGCATTTTGAAGGATTCCATTAGTATATTGTGTAAGCTGTGGATGCATTGATGAGTTAAGTATGGAAAATAAAAAAGAACCATAATTGAAGAAGAAAATATAGAGACATGTGGTGAAGAATGTTATAAAATAAGAGATTATAGATTAAAAAAGTAATATACTTTATTGTGTAAAAATTTAAAATTTCAGCTAGCCAAAAAATACCACAAAAGAATTGGAAAAACTATTTCTAATACAATAATAACAGAAGAAACAAAAATCTCAGTACTAAACTTGTGTGAAGGATATAAGAGGAAGTCATAAAACAAAACTAACAGATAAGCTTTTGAAAAGTTTTTCAATTTTATCAGTAACCAAAATAATTAAAACACCACTGATACAATCTTTTTAAATTTAAAAATAAAAGAAAAAGTATGATAATGCACAGAGCTGTAGAGGCTCACGGGTTATCTCGCATGAGAATGATGGTCCATAGTATTCGCCACCAGCATACTCTCGCCAAATCCAGGGGACGCTTGGCTTAGAACAGAGGGCAGCAGCCTCTGTTTCTTGGTCTCTTTAACTTCTCAACCTTGTCCTCAGTGTGCTGGAGGGGAGAAGTGTTCCAAGACTTTCCTCCTAAGGAATCATCTTGATTCTTCAAAATTCCTTCTCCCCATTTTTTACAGGCTGGAGGTAGTCTAATGTCCTACAAAGTGGTATAGAACCTCTCCTTAGGATAAACCTACTGATGTCATCAGTCTTTAAGACCTCAGAAGAAACAAAGACAGAGTGTCATTTAACATTCTATTATAATAGAACGTTTTGAGTAGATTTCTGTTATAACCGAAAGAGTTTTGACTAAGACATATGCATCAGCTCATTAGATTTCTTAAGGGCAGTTTACTCTGATTGGTTACTATTAGCAAAATCTG